TGAAATAAAACTCAGGTAATATTAGAGGAAAAGTTCTACAATCTACTAATCTAATCTACATGTCAAACAACAAATGTTGGAAAGGTAACTACAGCCAACATGGTACCAGACCACATTTTTCAGACATTGTTTACAGGACATTAGGGGAGGAACGTGAGCAGTCTGAGCTGTATGATTCTTAGGAAAGAGCGGATTTGGAACCAGTTTTAAGTAGGACATGATTCTGAATTAGGTCTTCAACTAACGATTATTTTCATTTTTGATTCAGAAAATACTAAAAATGATCCATCACAGTTTCCAATTATCCATTACAGAGTGGTTTGTATGACTATCAGTCCAAAACCAAAGTATACATGTTATTTAAAACTAGGGTTGTAATGACACACTCATGATTTGGTACAATCACTGGGTTCTCAATACAATTCTCTCACTATATATTTTTTAACAAAATAAGAGTTAAGACTAATTATGAGGGAAAAAGATTTTCTCAGACAAAAATCTACAAAATATATTTTCTTTAAGAAATTGTAGAATCCTTTTTTATTCCTGAGGTAGGGTATAAACTGTGAAAAACAATGCAAATTTCCTTGTGTGAAGTGTAACTGATGTCTTTGTGCCTTGATACCATGACAGATATCACAATTCAGTTTTCATCTCAGTGATTTAAATACTATAAAAAACTATATAAAGCAGAGAAAAGCTGCAAATCCTTACATTTGAGAAGTTGGAAACAAGGTTTGGCATATATTTCTTGATCATTTCTTGATTTATTCATTGATAAATTGACTGATCATTTCAACAATATATTTGTAAAAATTTAATGAAAAATCTCCAAACTCAAGTGCTACACACTTAAGTTCAAGAAGTGTAGAGAGACCACAATTCAGCAACAAATGACTTGTACAAAGTAGAAACACACACACACACACACACACACACACACACACACACACACACACACACACACACACACACACACACACACACACACACACATCCTCATACAGTGACTGACAGCTGGACCTGCATGGATCACCATGACAACAGAGGGCAGGAGTTTGGCACCAGTCTCCAGGGCTGTGGGTTGTGAGTTTACCCAGGTAAGGCAGTCTTACTCTGGGGAGAAGCAAAGACTGTCTCTCGCCTCCCCTATCCTTTCTAGCCTTTTAAGCCTCCACCTCCTCTTTCTTTGCCTCTCCTCACTTTTCCAACTCCTCTTCCTCCCTCTCTCACTGCATGAATTTCATCTCCTGCCTCCTCAGTCCTCCCTAGTCTTTTCCTCTCTCCCCACCAGCCCCCCTCTCCTGCAGCGCTCACCATCCCTGACAAAGCCTTGAGCGGCTGCCAGCGGCCCCCGAGAGCCGACTGACTTCCTGCTAAAAATAAGAGCTGATTGGAGAATCTCAGAGAGCTGCCACCAAGCGAGAAGAAGGGCTGAAATGTGGATGTGGAAAAAGAGAGGGGGGGAAATCAGCACTGGAAGAAAGAAGTGATGAGATGGAGAAACAAAAACTGAAGAGTAAAATAGGAAGACAAAGACAAGACTCCATCAGAGGAAAGATAAAAGAGTAGAAAGTTTGGGAGCAGATAGCGTCACCTGACCGAGGCTTAGCTTCTACCGACTTCTCCGAAATGAATACGCTAAACCTGATCTCCCTGTAAATCTGCTCTGCACACACTAAACAGCAGGAGTTACATTCATCTACAGAATGAGACGGTGTGTGTGACAGAGATGGGGAGCAGGAGGGAATGAAAGAGAGAAAGAATAGGAATATCCAGATTATAAATATTTATACAAGAGGAAGGGGAAGAGATAGCACAGTTGCAGGGGAGAGGGAAATAACGGCATAGAAGGGGAGGAAGGGATGGAGAGAGGAGAGGCTGACTTCAGAGGCAGCAGCAGGCGCGTTTGGCTCGGTTTATCTTTTCTTTCCCGTCCCTCTCGCCGCTGGAGTGCAGGCTAGCGGATTTGCAGCTCGTGCTCCCTGCAGCTCGCCTGTGTGTGTGTGTGTGTGTGTGTGTGTGTGTGTGTGTGTGTGTGTGTGTGTGTGTGTGTGTGTGTGAGGAGGGGAAGGACAACAAGTTCTCCCCCTCTCTCCTCCCTCAGAGAAAGAGACAAACACACAAAGGCCCTAACAGGCTTCTGCCGTTCCCGGGGAGGTTTGTGGCTGTGTTGATGACGCCACTGACAATCATGATGATGCCGATGATAGCAGGGCTGCTTTGCTCGCTCCAGCTGTTGTAGATTCACCGATTCAACTGTTTTTTCTGTTGCTTGGCTTCCTACGAGGTCACTTCATTCCAGTTTCCAACAGATATCACGTAGCAATGATAAGATTTATACTTGCTACCGACTCGGTGCAAAGATAAGATGCTTCCAGTGGAGGCCGGTGGTGCAAAAAGTCAAAGAAGACAAGATTGAGCTCAGTAAAGCTCTTACACTTGTTCTTGACAAAAGGGAATAGCTTAAATGTATTGCAGAATTCTCTTCTAAATTCCCACTAAACCTGCTCTTTATTATTACAGTAAGATAAATATTTTAATATGACTAAATATTTTCTCTTTGCTAACAATGCTAATTTATATCACAACATAGTCAACAACATACTCTTGATGTCAAAAGTATGTGGACAGTCTCTTCTATGCAACTGGACAGGTTTGACAAATTAATGTCAACTCTCAAATGTCCCCCCCCCCCCTTGAGAGCTTTCAACTACAGTTCACTATCTTCATAGCTGGAGTTTCCTAATTTTTCATGGATATGGTACACTTGTCACACTGACATCTGAGATAAAGTGATGCCAGCTAAGCATCTCACAGTTTTGAAAAAAACAGACTAAAGCAGCTATAATCAATATTTTCATATTAATAATAGAGAGTAAGTGAAAGGAGTCACTCGCAGTGGCAAACCCACAGAGAATTATCACTAAGCCTGCAATTCTCCTCAGCTCAAAGTGTTTTAGCCTCTTTCAGCTCATTGTTTCAGTTTTGCAGCCTTACTGTTTTGGTTTAAGAAGACAGCATTCTCAACAATCAGTCTATCATGGTAATACTGAAGTCATGATTAAATTACACCAGCACTGGCTCGTTGTCTTCATTAAGAGAAATACACGCACATACCAGCTTTTGTCTTCACATTCGTGTGTGCGTGGGTAAACAATGTGAATCCCACACGGGAAAGGCAGACCCTGCCAGTACAGCTTTGATCATACTTCAGTATGGACAGATGTGGACTTGAATGCAAACAGCAAACATGCTTCTTTACATACTACAATCCGAGATGTCCGTACACAGATGCATTCCACACGTACACACTAGAAAACGAGATACTAATGTCATAATGTCATAACAGCAAAAAGAGCTCTTTTGTTTGTTGTATTTGGCTGGACAACAGCGATATAACTGAAATCTTAATCTTAAGGTTAATATTCCAAACCAGTGATTCCCAAGCTTTTTTCAGTCTGACAGTCTTGTCAGATGAACTCAGGTAGCCCTTCATGAACACCACCAGTCATGCTCCAAAATGGACGTTATTGAATACTATTGACTATAAAAGGGGATAGTATCAAAATATTTCTTTCATACAGTTGAACTGTCATGTGTTTTGGTTTGTCTTCCTTTGAGATGTTTTTTCATATCATTTACATATTTTTAGCCAACTTTATCAACAATTTATCCATTACTTTTTGCTATTTTGACTTTAATTCACTCTTAGTTACTTATTTAGAGTTCTCTACTCACTTTCTAACTTTCGTGCACTCAATTGTAACACCTGCTGTTCTGTTGTCTCAGCTGACTCAATATGTTGATTTTCTTTTTTTTTTTTTTTTAAACTGTAATTTCTATTTTTTTAAACTTTATTGTGTTACTCCACAATCTCTCCCCGTACCACCTGGCCCTGCAGTAATGTAACACTGGTTGGGAATCACTGTTCTAAACTGTGTGAGGATCATCTACTCCGTCCTTTAGGCTTTTGAAAAAAAGAGTGAACAGAACTTGCCTGGTTTGTTTCAGTGGTTTGTTCCTGCTGTTTCCAGACAGAAGCGGGCTGTCAGTGTTCAACTACACAGATATGAACTGGGACGACTCTGTGGTCTCTGTCAGAGTTGAGAGGAGTGTAACACAAACCAGACTCATACGGCACCACAGAACACTTAAAAGGACCGTACCGCGGGTTTTGAATGTTTAACACAAATCACATATAGGCCGTCTTTACATTACTGTGGTCCATTTTCCAAAGCACAGCATCAGTTTTTAGTTTTCTTCCTTACAGGCAGCCTTTGGTTTCAATTCATGTCAGTACGCTATGGAAATCACCTCAGAGAGACTTCCTGTCCATTACAATGAAGTGATTCAGTCAACTGTATTCTTCTGTTAAAGTTATCATTGTTTGGAAAATGCAGTTACGAGCAGAAAACATTTTAAAAACTCTCTTTTGTGGTGTGTTCAAGGAACTCCTCAAGGATTTGAGGATGTATTCATGAACTCTGTTGTCAGAAAATTGAACACAGAAAACAAACAATAAGCAGACTGTGAAATCTTGCTGCTTCTTACATCTAAAAAATTGCTGTTTAGAAGTCCATTCAAATCTCTGATGTTCTCGGAGTGTCCTTGAACTCACCAAAAAGAAAGCAAAGACTCTATTTAGTATGCGGGGAAATCAATTGAAAGAAAATATATGGTGTGCTTCGGAAAAGGATCAACAATAAAGTAGATTTTTAATTTGCAGTCATAAAATAACCTCTGGTATGGCCCTTTAAATCACAGTGAAAATGATAAAAAAGTGAGCTTGTTGTAGCTCTGAGATTTCTGAAAACTTCAAAGAATCCTTCCCTATTCAAAGTTTTCCTCAAAACTTTCAGCATAGCACCCAGAGCAAGTAAATTTAGCCTGGCACTGACCCCGGCCTTATTAATAGACTGTCACAAGGGGACCCAGTTACAGAAAACAGGCCCCTGACCCGCTCTGGATCCAGAGACACAACTTTCAGAGATGCTGACCTAGCCAGTCGTTGAACTTCTTGACCTCGGAGGGCAGTCCCAGCTCAGTGAAGTCTCCGGCGTGGATGAACACGTCCCCGTACGGCATCTGGATGGAGTCGGTGCGGGAGTGAGTGTCTGAGATGCAAACAAAGCGAGTGTAGCCGGGCGGCTTGGGCGTGTCATGGGGCATCGGGTCCACCCTGAACCGAGGAAAAAGAACAGACGACAAGACAGTTAAGCTAGAGAGGATGGGAAAAGGGGTCACTGCGGCTGTTGGTGCTCTTAAACAATAAAGAAGAAAGAGACACAGCGCTGTATGCAAAGTCTCTGTGGTAAGAAGCTGACAATGAAAGAAGTTTGAATTAGTATCCAGCAGAAAATCATCCCCACAGACTGAAGCAGAGGAGGAAACAAGAGACACAGCGAGAGCGAGAGGCCACAATAAAAGCGCGGCGCTGAGAGACAGAAAGAGAAATGTGCAGAGATAGAAAAAGAATAAAGCGCAGATATAGAAAAAGAGTAGAGTCCTGTGGGATTTCCAGCGAGTGTGCGGATCCACGATGTCTCCAGGGGGAAGAGGGGAGCTGGTGAATAACCGTGGCCCACTTTAGTGAGCTCTCCTCCAGGTACGATAACACCCAGCCCTGCCTCCTCCTCCTCCTCCTCTTCAACCCAACACAAGAGAAAGAAAGAGAGGAGGAAAGTGGGAAAGGAGATATACATGCATGTAGGACAGCCGGTAAGAATTCACACAGTACACTCATTGAGTCACAAAGTAATGAAGAATGTTTAATTTCTACTATTGAGTATACAGGAACGTAAGGGAATGGAAAGTGAAGCTTTATGGAGCCCTACAGAGAAATCAATATAACTGTGTCAAAGACGGCTTTCTTGGTTGTATAAACTACACTTAACAAAAGTTCAAACTAAAACTGAACTTTTTGAAGTCAGAGGAAACCAACAAGCTGTCAGTAAACACTCTAAAGCTGTGGCCTGTATGAACAAGTTAAAGACAAATTACATAATAGAATAATAGTATAATGTACACATCTGCAGCACTAACTCAGTAAATCAGATGTCATACTCTCCACTCTGCTGCTCTTCACAAATACTGTTTACTTATTATTCATTTATTAATTCCACTTCCTTTTACTTTTTTTTTCATTAGATGTGAAGCTTCTGTCAAAGACACTCACAACTTTCCACACTAAAAGCCTTTTTGTGGCTCAAAGGGTCTTTAGTAGACCTGAACCATGTGAGTCATTGTAGTACAGTGCCCAGCTTTTATTGTTCGTGCTGGTTAGAGATTCAGCCATTACTTGAACAAATTTATAGCAGGCTACAAAATGCAAAACCTGATCAAAGTGTGATCCTTTGTGTTCTTCTTGGGTTTGCCTCAAACCATTTAATGTTGACAATCAAATCTAATATAATAATAATAATAACTACCCACTGCACATTCAAAAAGTTAAGCTTTAGCTGTAGTTAGCTAGCATGTTGTTGGATAATGGGGCTATTAAGCTTTAGCATAGGATTATTTAGACAAAAGTGAATACAACTTGTTATAGAGAAGAGTGTGAGAGTGCAGGTAAAGAGGATGCTGGAACACAGTGGGCACATCTAATGATTCTGTAGACTAGCCTACCATCTTACACACGGGCTTGATGATTATGATAAACTTGAATTGTTCTTTAAGATGGCAGCCTTTCCTGTAGCGAGCTTTTTGTGCCAAGCTTGGGAGAGAAGGCAGGATATTTTGTTTAAGACAGAGCCATATATAGTCTATAACTTGTAATTTTGTAATGGAATCAAATGTTTGATCACAGTATGGGGGGGGTTGTCTCTTGTAAGCCCATGAGGGTTGGGCATTGTGTGCGCATGACAAGAATATCAAATCAAATTCTACACACAAATTTGAAGTGAAATCAAGTTCTTTGGCAAGATAGGTCAGGGACACAGATTGTGTTTGGATGCTTCAGTTTGGTTTCCAGTTTCCACTGCATCTTCCAGCAGCAACGAACACAAATAGTGCATCAAAACAAAATAAAGAAGTCTCTTTAACAGTTTGTTCACACTGCAGCGCCTGCTCTGGTAAACAAACTACAGGAGGCTGCTTTCTGATTACCACACTTCACATTTATGTTTAAACCCTACACATACATACATACATACATATATATATATATATGTTGAGGTCTCGCCTATTTTTTACCGCGAGCGTCTCCCAGCAAAAAAAGAAATACAGTTTAAACTTTAAAAGTGAAAGCGCTGTAGTAACCTTTTATTTAACACGACTTCACTTGTGAAAGAATTTCCGGAAGTGAGCCGGATGAAGGGCGCTATCTTTCCACTGCGCTCTGCCTCTGGCTAGCGGCCATTTTCTTAGTTAGTTAGTTTAACGTTACATGCCAGAAATTGACTCGACACACCAGGTGCAATTAATTGGCACATTAGCTTAAAAATGGCGTCAGGCCTCACTCAGTACCACAGACCTAACGTTATATGCTGGAACAGACGACTCTCTCTTTTTATCCACACTGTGAATTTATATTGTCAACATGAAGTATAAATGAACAAATGAAACCATACAGTAACTTAAAATGAGTTGCTCCGTTGCTTAGCCAAGTTTCTTACCACAGGCTTCAGCTGCCTCTTTGCCCTTTCATCCTTCCTAGTGTAACCTGTCAGTGGACCATCAGGAGGCGGGCCGAAGCATTTGATTGGCTGAGGTGAAAGTAAACTTGAACTTATTGGCTATTTTCCAAGCTCATCAACAAATACATTTTCTACTACCTCAAATCTATACATATATAATATTTATTATTATTAATTTATTATATTATTTATTTATTAATTTATTGACAGTGGAATTGTATGTTTTCCTGGCTATAAATTAATACAGACTTTTATTTATTTATTATTGCTGATTTAATTACAGGCTACACTTACCACCGACTTTTTAAAAAACAGCAAAGTAGAAGCAGTTGTGATTAATTAATAAGTGAGAACAGTATTTCTGTTAAACTGGGAGCAGCAGAGTGGTGAGTATGACATGATTCTTGTACTGATGGAATTAGTGCTCTGGAAATGTACGTTGTGCTGAATTTATTAAAACAGCAGGTAAACACAGAGAAAGTGTTGAGTTTGCAATAACAGCAAACAGCAGCCACAGCAAATTAACACATAAGCCCGTCGCGGATAAGCATCCATGAACTGACTACAGCTTCGTTACTCTTGTGTCGGTCCAATTTTGAATTTGTTTACCCCAACCTTGGTGGTCAGAGGTACGGGTAGTGACAGAGCAGAATCCCTGGATCAGTTAGGTATTCCATCTTTCTCAGATCTAAGGTTCCCTTACTAAGTTTTATTTCACATTAAAAGCCTTTTCAAAGACTTTTTGTAAAATTGTTCAAATTAAAATTGTCATGTATCTACTCACATGTGGACGTGTGGTGGCTGGAAGCGTCCCTGGTTGATGTTGTAGAAGGTGAAGGCCTGAGTGGGGTTGGTGCTGTACTCGTCTACCTCCACTGCTGTCCTGCTGCCCCGCTGGGCGTGTGACTGAGCCTGCGACTGTTGCCGCCTTGCCGCCATTATTTCTGACAGGGTGAAGGCCATGACACTGTGGCAGAAGTAGAGCGGGTGGAGGAGAGCGAGGTGTCAGGTCTGGGAGTTTAGCTGCTTGCTGTTAGTGGGTGGATGGTCCTGACAGACTCAAACCCTCACTGAGCTCACAGTCACAGTGAGCTGAGGAGAGAACCTCACCTCCTCCCTCCTCCTCTTCTTGTTCTTCTTCTCTGCAGCTCCTCTGCACCTGAGAGGAAGAACAGTGCGTGGTAAAGATGGGATCTCAGAGAGGTGATGATACAATCATTTGACTGACAAAGAATTGACAACAGAAATAATTGATTCAGCTTCTTAAACAGGAAGATGTGATGCTTTTTATTTTGGTTTTTAAATTGGATTTTGGGGGATTTGGACTGTGGGAAAAACAAGCAATTTGAAGATGTCACCTTTTGTTCTGGCAACTTCTAAAGGGTCATTTTTCACAATTTCCTGCCACTTTAAAAAAAAAAAGAGAGTAAACATTCTTAAGAATCGTTTGGGACTGACACCATCAGTTTCTTTTTCAGTGTTCTTGCATTTTCACGGTGATTTGACATGGATTTTTCAAAGGGTGTTCGGCCATGGCAGACAGGAGAAGGATGTTCAAATGTGAGTGCATTTCGCCGAACTGAGTAATTAATCAGAAGTCAGGAAATAGCGAAAATATTAAATATTTAATTTCCCACCACAGAAGAGAAAGAAAAGCAGCAAATCCTCACAATAGACCCTTTTCACAGCAGCCTTTGTGACATGAAATAGTAGGTTAAACACAGGTGTTACCAATGATAATAATTAAGATTCCCTATCATTTAGTGTAGCAGAGCCTTAGCAGCGACTCTGTCTGATCTGAATGGAACTTTTGTATGACTGGTAACACCTGTGTTTACCCTACTATCTCATGTCAAAATGGCTGCTGTGAAAAAGGTCTATTGAGATGCTGCAGAGTATTGGGGAGAATTGAATCATCTTTACTAATACTAAACAAAATTGTATTTCTTGTTTTGATTTAATTAATAAATCAGTTTAAAAAGTTCGCAAAAACTGGGAAAAATGTCTGACATGATAAAAAATATAACAATAAAATAAAACAGAGAAAAGTAGCAAATCCTCACATTTGGGCAGGTACAACCAGAGGATATTGGGCATTTTTGCTTGATTAAATACAAGTAACAATTAATCAATTTAAAAACTAAATGTCAGTTAAACCGACTAACCTATTTATCGACTAATTGTTTCAGCAGTAAAATGTTTAAGCTCGAAAAGCTCCCACCGTAACGTCTCTTTGACAGTTGTGCTCACTTCTTTAACCATATTTCAGTCCGTTGACCTTCATCAGGTTAAATTAATTTAACCAAACAGTACCCAATTCTGATATCGCAACCTAAACACATTGGCCAATACGGAGCAGCATCCGATATCAGTGATCTTTTCTTTCTTCTGTGTAAAATCTGTATACCTCGCTCCATGGAACTGACTGGGAACAGTCTGCTGTGTGACAGGTAACATAACTGCAGTGGAAACTCTGAGTTACTGTTTATGTGGTGACTTTAATTCACTGTAACAAATGAACAAAGCAGAACACAAAACAAAACAGGAGTCCTGCAGTGAGGATGCAGATAAAGTGACAGAATAATAACAGCTCGCAAATACTGATAAATAAGGCAACATGTTCTAAATTCAGTCGGCTACCCCATGCGGCTGGATAAAGGTTTATCACCGATGTTTATAGAGACAGTGACAAATAAACTGTATTTATCGGCCATGTAGGGCCAATACCCAGTCCACTCAATAAGGTCAGTACCATCATAATACAGATCTGGTGCATCAGTGCATCCCTAAATTAAAGCTAGCATGGTCATCCAGTAAACCTTTTTCACAGCAGCCATTTTGACATGAAATATTAGGGTAAACACAGGTTCCAGTTAGTGTAGCAGAGCCTACCAGTGAACCAACATGCACAATAACAGCACCCTGACTCAGTTTGACCTGAATGGAACAGGACCTTATTTAGTATCTTTGGTAACACTTGTGTTATATATATTATCAATACAGACATTAGAAGATAAAAATTAGAAACCTTAATTATCAATACATCAAGTCATCATCATCATTATTAAGATAACTATCATAAAAAGAAGATCTGTCATATTTATAAGTTCATTAGGGGCCTCCCCTGCACTAACCTGAGAATAACAGACAAGCCTGAAGAGAACCGGGTTTAAAAAGGCAAAGGCATGCAAAACTTTGATTTTAGAAAGGGTTGCCTAAACATTTGTTTGTGATGCATTCCAACAGAATGGCTGTTGTTTTTTTAGGGCTTACAGGGGCGTGCTGCATCCCCTCCAGCTACTGTAGTACAAGTGCATCTATTGGCTCAGGTTAAATCTCATATTTACTTTTAACGGAGCCACACAAGCACAATGTTTTCACCTTGAATAGAGAGCTAAATGAAAAACAGATGTTATGCAGAATGATAATCAGGCTGCAAACTGTAGCTCTAGAGCTCCAATGATTTATTATTTACTCTTTTAAACATTTTATGTCTCTTGTATGTCCTATATGTTCTTTTCATTTGATTTTTTGCCCAGGAGATATAAAATTATTAACTGAATTGATAAAATCCTTTCAGTCGCTGTCCCCAGTGTGTGAGGCCTGCATGTGTGTGTGTAGCCCATTAAGACTGGATTCAGCTGTGCGGTTCATTTTCGGAGGCTCTGGTGACTGCTGGGAGGGAGCGGAGCCGCTGAGAGGTGCTGAGATGACGGGGGATGCTGGGAGACGAAGGTGATAATTTGGGGACAGGCGGCTTTGGCAAAGTCCGCCTGGACCGCCGTGTGATGTCGGCACGCCATCTCGATTCCTCATTCACCGCAACCTCACACGCTGACAGCCCACTGACGTGACAGATACACACTTCACACTTCACACCACGGTTGTTTGTCACGGGCAAATCCCAGCATGCTCGGTGGATGTGTTTCAGGAGTGCATAAATTTACATGTGTGTGTGTTCTGTGTGCACACAGGTGGATGTGTATGCAGGCCCGTGCGTGCATATTTAAATGTGTTTCTGTTGTCATGAATGTGACAGTGACACTGCCAGTGTGAGATAGAGAGATGTATTAGCAGATGCTGCGAGATTAGAGCACACTGGGCCCAAATTCAGTTTTTTAGATCATGTAGGCTACACAGGACAACTGAGCCTTCACTTCACAAACTTATTTTTACATGTCTATTTTTCTCTATATATTGTAGTATAATGCACATATTTTTTTTTAATATTTTCTATTTTTCGTATAATTTCTCTTTGTTAAGATAAGACTATTTCCCGGGGACCAATAAAGTATTTCTGATTCTGATTCAGCCTCTGTACACTCTCAACCCTAATTTCATTCACTCTGACTCTGTCTAGCGTAAAAAGTTCTGTTCCTTTTATCTGTCAGATAATTCACTCTTGAGCATCTGTACCAACATAGTCATAAATGACTACAGTTGGGGTTTATTGGCAAATCTGGAACCTTTCAGATCTTTTATCAGATCCATTTAGAGTCACCTTTCAACATGTCTAACAAAAGTTTAAAATAACTTAATCTCAGAGATTCCATTGAAATCTGTATTCACACTCACACTCACACTTATGGTATTACTGATATAACCTGCCAAAAATATTTTTTGTCATTTGATCCGGTGGAAATGACACACAAAATGAGCAGGCTGCTAATGTAAGTTGACAATGTAACCTGGTTCAATAAGACATTCATTAGCCTCAGCTATTTGGAACCAAATCCGAAATGGAAGCTCTCTTGTCTGGGTGACATATGAAGAATGTCCCCCCTATAAAAGATATGGTTCCTCCCATTGTCTCACAATTGCCCTGATCTGTCATATCTTTGGGATATCAATTTCTGATATTGGCAGAGTTTTAGCACCAATACAAAAATAATCTTAGTTAAATGTGTTTTTAATCCTTTTTCCATTTAACACACAGAGTGGTGTGTTCAGCCACAGTACTGCTGTGTGCATATTGACAGCACTCACAGCCCAATATGCACACAAGACAGGAGGAAATGAACTTGAAGCCGAGTGCAACAACACACTGCCTTTGGGGGAGGACTATGGATGGACCATGAAACAGCGGGACCCTGGGCACCCCCACCCCATCTTCATAGGAGCAAGACAACTAGACTCTATGTCTCTCTCAGTTGTTTTGCATCTCTTTGTGGTCATTTGCACGTCTTTGTAGTTGTTTTGTGTCTCTGTGTAGTCGTTTCGTGTCTCTTTATACTCTTTTTGCATCTCTTTCTGGTCATTTTGCGTATCTTTGTGGTTGTTCTGCATCTCTGTGTATTTGTAGGGGTTTGATTGACTGTTCAACAAGACATTTTAACAGTTATTTCAAACAAGGCACAAAATTCTTGGAGAGAGGTATAAGAGTAGGTCTGGGCAATTGGACGAGTATATGCATGAATTTAATGGTCTACCACAGAAAAATGAGTGAGAGCCGCGTGTTCAGTGAGCTATCCCAGTAGCACAAAGAGGCCAGCGACAGCAGAGAGAGGCAGCGGGAAAAAACAGCGTGTAGAGCCAGAATATTAAACCAGCCTGCTCATCGCTAGTGTGGGGAGTGGGTGCCCCCCTGTGAGCGCCACACACACCTGTGCAAATATATGCGCAACCGCCGGTTGTTGGGCTTACGGAAGATCTTAACATATGGCCCACCTTATTGAGGAGGCAGTGTGATGCAGTCAGGAAGAGGCAATGACAGCAGACTTGTTGCCCCAACTCAGTGATTGGAATCATCAGTCAAGAATAATTAATTAATTTAAAGAAAATAATTTCCCCCTGGAAAGTATTAGTAAGTATGCAAGAACATTAAAGTATTTCTGATTCTGATTCTGATTCTGAAGAAGACCCAGAGTTGACTCACAGTTTGTGATCTCTGCACTTATGTTTTGTAGCTGCGTCTGAACCTTTAAGACATCCACACGTCGTGGTCGGAGGGAATAAAACTGTTACAAATGTAACTGTGATTAAAGTCAGAATCTTCATGAGAAGATACAAAAAGACCGAGATATTTACAATTTTAACTGATCATCTAAATGCTTTACTACAATAATTGTACATTGTGCTTTTTATCACCCTAACATTCTGCTGTATTTTAAAGGGTGCTGTTGTAAATATCAGTATTCCTCAACATGCATCTCGCTCTTAAAAGAGCAAGTAGAACTTAAAGGATTTATTTTTGTAAAAGATCAAAAAAGACGGAGAGCTTCCACACACTCAAGTCTGCGTTGTCTCTTTAATACATTCACATGCTTTCGCTCACAGATTTTCTTCAGGCATACGAGACACACTGCATCCCCGGGCCCAAAGTCATTGTCTCACAGTTTTGTGTGAAATCCTCAGCAGAGTAAAAATGTGGCCTTTAGTTTATAGAACTGGCAACATTTTTAAGGGCCTGATGGTGCTACAGATGAGGAGAAATGTCAGTTTTCTTCTCTTTAGATTGGTGATACTTTATGCACACATCCAAGAATGGCAGCTTTTTTTAAATCAAGAGTGAAGTCAAAATCAGGATTTATGCTGTATGGTAATCAGCTAAATCAATTAATTGATTACACTTTGATTGAAATAGACGTGATTAAATACTAAAGTGTGCACAAAGAAGCCAACATAAAGATTTTCACCCATGGTTTGGATGAAAGCGCTACGTTAATGCAGCCAAAAACTCAGATAAAGTACAAAGTTAAGCATGAAATGAGTCAGAATCAGAATAATTATTTTTCCATGTCAGAAATGTGTTTTAATTTAGGCTCGGTAATCACAGAAAGGTTATCTAACATGCCTTAATTTTTAATCAGCAAACCCTTTAACAGGCAGATAGTCTCTGAAACTGCACACTGCCACAAAAACGGAACTGTTGGTCACTACATCTGATGGACATTTTCAGAGTCTGCTGTTGACATGACTGACTCCTTCCAGAGATGTTACTGATAGTCAAGTCTCACAGAGGCTCCATCTTAGGGGCCCCCTGCATCCTATGGGCCCTCAGCCCGTTCAGTAATCCATCCACTGAGGATAGGAGAGAAGAGGAACAAAGCTGCTGGCAGCAGTGTGGACCAGGACAGTCGGAGAGAGAGCAGAGAGAGAGCAGAGAGAGAGAGAGCAGTGCGGTGTGCGGTGGAGGCTGTGGAGCGGCTGATAAACGCACGAACAGAAGAGAGGCCGTGTGATGGATGCGCTCTCCGCTCGTCACATTGGACTGTTGGTGGCAATCTTCTCTGCTTGTTCGCTCGTTTTCTGCCACATATGGACACACAGAAAATTAAAGTGCATCTGAGTGTGGCGCTGCATTACAGTGTCTGCTGCATGCACACAGCCTGGAGATCTTAAGTGTGTGCCGGGCTGATTTGGAGCCGCAGCTCTGTGAAATAATGTGAATCAGAAACTGAGAGGACAATGGCACGCAGGTAGAGATATAAGATTCAACCAAGATGGAAAAAAATGATGGCAAAAAATAATAAGAGCATGTTTTTTTTTCTCTCTCTGTAATGTTCCATTTATAACTAACAACCCAATTAATCAGTCTTAATTCACCTTTTATTCACTCACACACAGTTTGTTTCAATTAATTAGTTTGCTGGCAGAATTCTGCAACGCTTAATTAAAATCAGAGATGGAATCCTTTCAGCTGAATTATTAAAGTGCTCCTGTGAATTATCAGCTTCCTGCACATTTAGCAGAAGTTTCCCTCCGCTCAGGAGATTCCAAACTCTAATCAAACTTTTTCAGCCGTTTGGTCCCACAGGCTGCACCGGTTGTCTCTCCAGCAGCCCGCACCGTACTCGGAGACTTTGCCCTTTGGATGTGGTGCTACTGAAATCTGATCTCACGTAAAAGCGTTCCGACGAGCCAATGCTGGAAAGGGTTATATCTGGGGAGGCGAATGCATGCCTTTATGAAAATCCAGACCACTCACTCACATGTGGAAAAACAGCGCGTTCAGACCGCGCGTCCAGATCGGAGATTAAAGCCGGGAATACGCAGCGCTGTGCGGGGCTCTGTGCACAACTCTGCTCCCGGTCTTGCATGTATAAAGAAGACACCTCTGCATAAATGCACCAGGAAGATGAAGAGGAGGTAACCTACCTGTTCCTGTGGTCAGCTGCGGTGAGGCTGCTCGCTGGTGGATGTGCAGAGAGGACGGTGTCTGCGCTGTGAGAGAGACGCGCTGGTCAGTTTGAATGCGCACCCCGTGGTGCACCGGCGGAGCGTGGTGGAGAGATCTGTTTCCTCCCTCCTTCTCTCTCTCTCTCTCTCTCTCTCTCGCTCTCTCTCTCCCGGATCAGTCCTGCCCACCGTATTTCCCGGTGAGCGGTAGGCTACAGTGAGGAAGGGAGGGAGGGAGGGAGGGAGAGCGGCTCCACAGAGCTCATTCTCAGCCACAGAAACCCCGGCGTACTTAAGGCTCCCCCTGGGGCCACCAGGGCCGAGTCCAGGATTTAATACACACTGGGGTCATGAGTCCATTATGCCCCACACTGCCACCCCACCACCCCTAAAACAAGGTCTGTTATTCACATATTTATTCATTCTGATCACATGTGTTTTATTATCTTCTAGCATGATGATTTAATGGCTGTTTCAAAGCATTCATCATAAATAAAATCAAATAAAAAATATATTTTCTTTTGTGTATTCTGTGTATTTATTGATGGGATTAGTATTCATATCTTAAATTCTTCACACTGGACCTTTAAGTAATAATCTAAAAAAAACTTCCATTTTACATTTTGCAGGACTTTTTCACTCACACATTCAAACGTTTTCTTACATAGAAGTAGTATAAACAGAACCCAAAAAAAAAGCACTATATCAATAGTAAAAGTACTCATGAGTCCTGTCAGTGTTTGGGTTATTATGAATGATGCATTATTGGTTGTCAAGAATATCTATATACAATCTTGTTCAATCTATGATGTTGCATCACACTTCATAAACCGATCATATACGTATAAACTGTATAAAATGGACATATTCAGGTAAAAGTACCTCTTGAAGTACAGCACTTGAGTAGATGGACATTCACTGCATAAATCCACCATGTAAACTCCTCCATATGTGTTTAAATCCACAGTCCTGGGTGACCTCCATGTTAACTATTGTCCTGATTGGGACTGTCAGGATGTGTACATGTGTAAATACTGTATATAAAAAACTCCTTTGTGAACATACCTGGCTGATAGTAGGTGTGTTCTGTAAATGCTGGGTTAGCTCTTTAGAAAGGCTGAAATTATTTTTATTATCAATTAATCTGAAGATTATGTAATCCCGGCTTCAATTATTTTGTCATTTGGTTTAAACTGTCAGAAAATGCTGATAAATTATCATCACCACCTCCTAAAGCCAGAGTTGACACATTCAGACAGCAAGCAGTCTGAATGTATTCAGTTCACGATCATAGAGGACAAAGAAAAACAACAAATAATCATACAGCTGGAGCAGGGACCAGGTATAATTTCATAATAAGTGTTCTGAAAAATAACTTAAATTATTGTTTGATTGATTACAAGCATTGCTGCTGCCTGCTGTGGATCAGCTAATCCATTATAGGACTAATAGTTTGAGCTCTAGTCTCACATTGTTCCTATGAAATCCCTGCAGGGATCCACATCTTAACATGTCATTTAGTCCATCATTCAGCCCTTAAACTGTAATTTTCTGAAGACAAGCAAATAGCTGATACAAATACAGTGCTTTTCATTAATTTTCTTTGATGTTAGTGCATAAATCTGCCTCCTCTCTCTCCGTCTATGATACTGAAGCTAATTCTCAAAATCCCTGGTAGAGACACGTTATAGAAAGAGACTGAGGGAACGTAGATTTATCTCATTCCAGTGACAGAAATTTTTTCATGATTTGTGAAAAAAAGACCAACATAACCACTAATAGATTATGAGACAATGGGCAGGAGACAGACACATAAAGGGCCCCACCTGCTATCTACAGTACCAAAGCACCCCTCTCCTTGTGCCTGATGTCAATCCCTATCTTTTTCTGTGGTTACTGTTTGCTGATCAATTATCTGTACTGTGCTGCTATTTGTTGTTTGTATGTGTTTGTGTGGAGATAAAGAAAGACAGAGATCCACACTGACACCTCTCTACCAGTGGTGGAAGAGGCATTCAGATCCTTTACTTTAGTCAAAGTGCCAGTACGTTAAAGGCAGATAAACTTTTCCTAAAAACAATGTATAGACTCATATAAACATAATTCCACCCACTAGGAGTGTGTGTCAGTGTGTGAGAGCTCTGTGCAGTGGTTTTCTTTTGTAGTTCAATTGGTATATATATATATATATATATATATCCTGTATATTTTCCATCCATCCATCTTAGACAACCCATGTATCCTGTCCACCAGTCATATATCAGGGCTTTGTTTTGATATTCACACCAAATAAATCAATAAAATGTATTTTATTAAATTAAACCTTACGCTCCTGCCTGTTAAATCTTTGCATTTGTGCTGAAAGGAAAAAAGAATCCACTCCCCATCATTCACTGGCCGTGTAAGGGATAATCAGTCAAATTACAGCATTACAGCGTATCACCACCTCTGCTCCTGTTTATCCGCAGGTAATTGGACTGGGATTTAGGCTAGTAATGAGCTCAACAAATAGACCACAATCTGGAGCTCAAACACATGCATCCATAACCACCAAGCTCAAAGTTATAGTTATAGTGGAAGCTTGCAGACTTCGAGGCTGGACGGAGTCTGCCATCTGCTGGCCATTTATGGTCAGATTCTCAATGAATAATAAAGAGGAAAAATTACAAAGTTGTGGCATATGCTTCCATTCTTTTTAGTCATAAACATTATCTCAAACACTTGAACATGCCCAACTTTAAATAATATCAGTTCAGTTCCTCCGTTGATCAGTTTTAACCATCAGATTGACAGACTGGTTCATTCTCAGAAGGAACCCACCTAACACGCCTCCTGGTTGCCAGATCAACTTACAGGTTTTTCATGCTGAGGCCATCATGCACAGAACTCTTCAGACACCAAATACAGCAGGGTTGGTGCAAGTCAGATGAACAAAAAGACATTTAAGATTTGTATATGAACAAGAATTGCACCATTTCACACAACAAGCCAAGTTTATTTATACAGTCCCAAAATCCACATGTGTGGATCCACAATATTATATTATATTATATTTTATATTTTTTAATATTCTTATTTGTGACTACATTCCCCTATGCTGCTAATTTGAATTTCTCCTATCGGGGATCAATAAAGGTACATCTTGTCTTATCTTATGTTCTTTAAAGCTGCAGTAGGTAAATATTATTATTTTTCTGTGAAAAAATCTGCTTCCTCTGGATCGTCCTCTGGCAAGAATCCACCGGGCCTAGACAATAACAACCAATCGGAGCCAAGAAAGATATAAAGACGCTTTTGGTTGGAAGCTTGAAGATACTTGATTGTAGAGTCTCATTCCCAGGGTCCCAAAGCATCTGTAGTTGACGCCCTTGGAATAAGACTCAACATTCAACTATCTTTCTTGGTTCTGATTGGTTATTTTTGTTCAGGCCCGTCTTTTTTGCAAATTCCATTAAGAGCACTAGGAGGAGCCAGAGGAACCTGATTTTTTCACAGATTATCTGTCTCATGTGCTACTGTCAGGATATAGTGAAAGTTTCAGTAAATATGACAAAAAATATTTTAACAAAAGTTACCTCCTGCAGCTTTAAAGTGTTTCACAATTTGTACTCTATATGCTTACATCTCGGTTTATATGAGGATAAAAAACCTTTAATGGGGAAAAACTGGAAGAAACCTCAGGAAGAGAAACAGAAGAGGGGTATATGTTCCAGGACAGACAGATTTCATAAAAATTGCCATGGTTACAATAATTTGGTTGGAAATATTGTAAATGTATTGGAAGAATATTGATCTGGGAGTAAGTGGAGGAAGTGTTTAATAACTTACTGTGTATCATATACATTATTGTATTGTGTGCCGCAGACAGCCACCTCATGGCAGAATGAAAACACTGCTTACTATATCAACTGCAGCAGACAGTGCAGGTGCTGCCTAAACAGGTAGGATCAGAGCCACACAACCTCCTCTTCACCATGGAACTGGAAAGAAGACACGCTGCACATACACACAGGAGGTAAAACTCAAGGACACCATTCACACAGGGAGAAGATAAGAGACCAACCTGCAAGAATAATAATTGTAACAGCTCAAAGTAATCAAAGAATAAGTAATTAATTGAAAGTTGAAGTGAAAAGATGCATTTTAAGTTTGGATTTAAAGGACTCAACAGAGTCAGACGGCCTGATGTCAGCTGGGAGATTATTTGATTCAGTACTTGTACTTTTTGTTCTGCATTTTATTCATTTTGTAACTTTAAAACTATATTAGCTGTCAAACAAGTGCTGTGGGTGACTGAACATAATCATACATTGTTTAATCATGCTTTATTTGCTATTATATTGCAAAATGGTGTGTGATGGAATCAGACTCAGCCCTACTGTATATGCAACAGATTAATTGGACTAAGCAGTAGTGGTTTTGTCACAATTCTGTCACCCAATCAGCCCATGTTCTGTCTTTATCACTTCATATCCAATGAACTTTCAGCAGAGCAACTGATGGAAGGGAAGGCAACAAGATAGCAAAGGGAGGAGAGTAATCTCAGCATCTGGCACAGTCGCATTTGCCTTCAGATGCTGGCTGCTGATTGGACGTCCTGGAAAGATCACGTAGGAAATATCAGCTCCGCCTGTCAAATATGATTAATGACCAACAGCAAAGCAGCTGAGGAGTTACAGTAGTCTTCTAAACAGGCTGTGAACTCCATCATCGGACAGTCAGAGTTATAGGCCATTTACATGTGACTAAATACACAGATTATTATTACTCAAATGCAAGCTTGTTTAATTCTTTTGTGGATGTCTTTATTTTTTGTTTTAATCAATAGTGACAGCTGAAGACTGCAGCAAAGCGGTCGGACTCAAACCTGCTGCAGAAAGGGGTCAGTCTTGGTACACGGGGCTCTACCAGGTGAGCTACCAGGTGCCCCCTTTTGTGAATTTCTTAATGCAAACTCTACAGCACACACTACTGAACTGAACTGCTGCCCTGAGAAAAGACACAACAAAGAGGAGGACACGAATGCATCACTGAAGTTTGTAAGGTGACATGTTTATTTCCTCGAGCAGACTCTCTTCCTCTGGTGTCAGCTGAATGACAGGGAGGAGAGTGTCATGCAATGCGGCAGTGATACAAAAACACACGAAGGAACAAACACTCATACACAAACTTAGACCGAATCAAATGTAGGTGTCATGCTATGATGGATGATATTGCTCTGTGGGAGCTGTTTTTTTTTACACATTACAGGAACAAACAAGAGCAAATGGCATCTTCCAAAGCAGGAAAACAATGCTGGATATTTCCAAGTATGCAGATTGTGTAACCACCAGGAAGACTGGAAGGAGACAATGGGAGAAAATATGTCACCTCTTTTGTGGTAAAGTGAAGTCACCAAATTTTTGTAGAAATCAGATCTATGAAGAATGTAAAAGGACACTACAATCAAATTTTTAACGGCAGATGAATCGATCACTGATTAATTGTCTCCTAATATCTAATGAAGTTCTCTATTAGTATGTGTATCACTTTGATGCTCGGGGTCAGTAACGTTAGACAAACTAGTAACAGACAGCTAGATTTTGAAGTATCCAACCAAAAAAATACCCCCCTCCCTTCAGGTCTTCCTCAGCCACTCCCCCAGAGTGCGCAGAGATAGGCAGGTAGGTAGGCAGACAGGCAGGTCGCCGAAGGATTACTTGCACAGCCAGTTTTGTTTTGTGGCCAACTGCAGCAGGCTTTCTCAATACTGGACCAATCTGAAAAAGTATTGTCCGCATTAGTCACTTAGACACAAAGGGTCCAGCTTAATTGTTTAGGATTTCTTGGCATCTAGCGCGTAGTTGCAGATTGCAAGTAGCTGAACACCACTCGCATCTGTATTTTACAACCTGGGAATGAGAACGTGCTGTGTGTGTAAGGAGAAACTACGGTGGCTGCAAAACTGGCAAAAAATGCAAAAGGCCCTATCTACAGCCAGTGTTTGGTTTGTCCATTCTGGGCTACTGTAGAAACCTGGCAGACTGCATGGAAGGCGACCTGTGGCACCTGTTGATAAAAACAGCTCAATCTAAGGTAACAACAACACGATTCCTATTCCTATATTTAGGTTATTATCCACTAATGAAAACATACCTATAAATATTATATTCCATTTCTGACAATAGATCCTCCTCAATGTTACACACTGGACCTTAAAGGGTTCTCGAATTGCTCTGTCTGGCCTTTCTACTGGGACCAATGACAATGACAATGACTGAACAGCTCTGCCTTGTGGAGAACCTGCAGCCTATGAGTGAATCCGTCAGTGAGTTACAGACATAGACTGTATGATCTGTGGTTACAGTTCAGGTACTTGATTTGCTTCACAAACCTTCCACTGAAGCAGCAGTCATCATCTACTGCAACTGTAACAGGAAAAGGTGAGCAAACAGGATGACTCATCAACTCCTCAAAACTCACTTTACTTAAGTAGGTGAGCGTGCACAGGAAGAGTGCAGATATCCCGACAGCAGAGCGTATCAAACGGGTTATCTCAGCTCCCATATGCTCCTAAGTAAGAGAAATAAAGAGAATATGAATGTGTGGATGATGATGAGTGTTTCTGGTGTAGCTTCCAGATCTGCTGCACAGATTGTGTCGCTTGAAGGTAACAGCAATATTAGCAGTGTCAACAAAATTTTCTGGAAGCGTACTTCAGGCCAGTTGTGTGCAGCGGCACATGGAGCCACAACTGAGGAAAGATAAGAGATATAATGAGCAGATAGAAGACGCTCCGAGGCCTCCTCCCTGCCTGTTTCACTGTGGATGGGAAGGATCTACATGGACACACAAAAGAGACAACTTGAGTCTGTTTTCTGCTACTGTTTTATTTAATTTGTTCAGTACTGGAGTTTCATGGACCAAACAATGGCACAACACTGCGTTACAGTTTCTCTCTTTGGGTACAACCGACTAACACAAACGTTAAAATTATTCCTCTACAAATTGGACTAAAGAACATACACACGCAGTCTCTTCCTCTATCACAGGCACCCAGCACAAAAACTCACCACTCACACACACACACACACACACACACACACACACACAGATACACACAGATACACACAGAAACACTCACACTTACTGCACACACGTTCATTCTCACAGTGTCTCTCTCTCACACACACACACTCATTCACAATAGAATACATTCTCAGGAAAAAAAACAGTCAATTATAAATTTGAGAGCATTTCATATTGTTTTTTCATAACACTCATATTGAACAGTGCCCACCTCAAACAGAAAGTAGGCCGTACCATAACATGTCTGTGTGGCAGCTATTTGGAAAGGTCTGGATACCTAATGACAGTATGCTCTTATTTTGGAAAATTATCTGATGATCCAGTGACCTCACTGACAGTTAAAGAGTCAGTTTTTAAGGGGGTGATTATCAGCCAATACTTGTAAGAATATGTTTTCAAAATAATTTCCCATTTCGTTATTGGTTCTCTCAACTATTTAATATCTTATTTTGGAAGAAAACCCTTAACTGTGACCAGATCAGTGCTATGCAGGGCCATACTTGTGGTTTTGCCTGCTTCAGCCCATTCCATTGCTTTTAACATGACTGCAACATGACCATCTGTGATTGGTTTCCTACGTTCGAGCCATATTGGTTTCATTTCAGTACGCTATGAAAATCAACATGCATAGACTTGAAAATTCCAATGCTGGGAACATTAAGTTGCCTTTACTTTCTTTAGGTATCCTGTGAGCATTTTCATAACTTGTATTGGTGGTCGTTTCTGGAATATGGAACAAAATCCACCTAACAGCACCTCTAAAGTTAACTAATTGAAGGTTATATATGAGGTTTAAAACATTAATATAGCAGCAAACAACTATTAGCTTTGTAAAGATATAGTGGAGTCATGCTGTCTTGAGCAGAGAATGTCACACTCTGTGTTGCTATCGCAGCCTCTCTGTGGTTTGTTTACAAAAGTTTGGTTTGTTTACTGCTCTGTGTGCAGAGACTGAAACTGCTGTGAAGGATTTATTTGGACCAAACCAGTCAGTGATTGTTGGAACACTTTGAATGAAGTTACGATGTTACGATGATATTCAAGGTAAAATTACCGTTTTTGTCTATGGAGGCTGGTGGAGAGTGATAGTGATATCACTGCTGTTTCTGGTTAAACAAAAGGTCTATCCCTGTAGGGATCCTTTCCATAAGGCTGTCAGACACACAACAACAAGCACTCTTAGTGAACGTACTTTGATTGCTGCATTTGACCCCAACATTAGCAACCATATCTAACTCAGTGAATTAAGGATTTATTTCGACCAAAGCAGCATTGGTTATTGTTTTATTGTTTTGGTCTAAGATGCTGGTGCTCTAGTGTGACATCCAGTGGAAAGTGAGTATTTTTTTGTTTTGCAATTTAGATGACAGGTTAATCCATGAGTTTTAGAGGTGCTGGTTGGCAGATCAAGGCTAGCTGATTCACATTTTCGATATTTTATGCTAAACTAAGCTAACAGGCTGCTGGCTTCAGCTACATATGTACTGCACAAACATGAGAGTGGTAACAATCTTCTCATGTGATTTTCCCAAAGTAGTTGTGCTAGTCTGTGCACACTGATTTTCACAGTGTTCTGAAATGAACTGAAACCAGTCGCTGCCTGGGAAAAAGTAAACTTAAAATCTAATTCTGGAAAAAACTAAGCAGTATACACGATTTGTAGTAAATGAGCTAAAACATGCAAGAGCTCCAGCCTGGTCCTTTAAATCTATAATCACTGGGCTTTGATAAGCTGACACTCCTTTATCTTCGTTGTGAAAGCTTGCCTCTTTATAAACAACACACAGATAAAGTTCACTGGCTTACAGTTGAAGCTGCAAGTGCTACGGACACACAGACATTATTCCGACTGTGTCCCTGCCACTACATTCACCTCCAGACCAAAACTCCAGTCGCAACAGACATCTTTCAGCTCCACTCGCATTGTGCAGATATAGAGTCCATCTTCAATATATAGGATTTCATAGACATATTAGTACCAATGGGAATGACACAGAAACATTTAGTTGGGTTATAAAAGAAAAGCATAGTATACACACTATACTTCCTATTTAATGGAAAGAGGTTGCATCTGGATGTATGCAGATAAGCAGTGTTTCAGAAACAGGCATATACTGTAGCAGTATGTATGTATAATGCCATCATACAAGAAGCCTTTATGGTGATGCTTCTTCTCTCTGGCAGCTATAGGACGGATGAAGCAGGACTGGGCAGTGAAAACACAGACTGTAGTGGTGGTGGCAGGTTGCTTACACTGTCTTTCCTCTGTGCGCATTAGTTTAACAAACAGTCTTTTGAGATGCTGAAGCTTCGACCTAAATGCTTCCTCGCGGTGTGTGTGTGTGTGTGTGTGTGTGTGTGTGTGTGTGAATGGGGCTTGAAGCTACTGTAACTGAGAGTTTTTGGGGCAACTGCGAGCTACAGAGTGGGAGCAATAACAGGAGACACAGCTGTCTTTCTCTCTCATCACCGCCACATGTGGCACATTTCAAAACAACACAAAAAAAGGTAACAAATACGTAACTTAGATCTTTTTTTTCCTACAGTTTAAAATATAAAATTCAAGTGCAATTAAAGTTCCAAATATTAGTTACATCACATACATTTCTCTCTAAAGTAACAATCTGTTACTTGCAGGTAGTTTATCTCATCTTGTTATATATCTTTTTTATTATTTAAAAAAAATTACAATATAGACTTTCTGATTCACCCCATTTAATCTTTCCCTGTGTTCCAATGGATAAAGCACCCACTGAAGTGGAATGGTTTCAATTTCCCCACTTTAACATTTCTTTCCAATCATTTTCCATGTTAAAATGTGTCTTTAAGTGCACCGATTGTTTTCCTCATCTCTGTCTCGTGCACATCGGGGGCCAATGAAGAATTCAGGATACATCCATGTACACTGTGTGGGCCAATGCATCTTAACACATTATGCTGTGTATGTCCACACAAACATAAACGTCTTACACATCTGTATGTATGTCGCATCTAAAACATCTGTGATGTGGGCTTCTGCAAGTTCTGACTTGTTCAGTATAAATATTACAAAAACAAAAACCACGACATGGAAAAACAAAGCAGAGCAAAATAAAATGAGAGAGGTGGAGGGAGGGGAGGGAAAGGAAGATCGCAGAACAGAAGGTGTTAATGAAGGTGCAGAGATCTGGTTGGGAGAGTAAGTATGAGTAAGAAGTATGTGTGCAGAAATAGGGTTTGACCTATATACTTTGGTTTGCTGATACTGGCCTTTTACTAAATACTGGGGGGGGGCTTCTTTAAAATACCACAATCAATGGCTTACAGTGAAGTTGTTGGCTTTTGGGGGGCTCTGTGGCTTAGGGGTTAAGAAGGCAACCATCAACTGTAATGTCCAGCTGGGGATCTTGTCGCATCTCTCTTTCCCTAATTTCCTGTCATCTCGCTACTGGTGCTATCTAATAAAGGCATAAAAAGCCTCAAAAAAGAATAAAAAAAAGAAATGCAGCTGGCTGGTGACTGCCGGCATAGCTTCAGTTTTAGCTTTTAGACTAAATGGCAGAGGATTTACACATACCAAAGGGATACTCAACATGGGTTCACACCTCTATTCATTTATGCACAATAACAGCATATTACTGCTTGGTAAAGCTTAAATGAATGATGAAAAACCAGAAGCAGCAATTCAGGCCAAATTATGAATGTTCTAACAGTATGCCATCTTGTATCTGTTATCAGTCACTGAGGGCCACTACTGATCTGAAGTAGATTCCACGCCTGACTACAGCTACATAAGAGGTCTGTAAAACATGCAATCAAATGACACGTTTGGTATAAATTGTCAAATTTAAAGAAACAATATACATACACAATACTGGCCTTCAAAACCCCATATTGGTCAAACCTTACAGAAAAAGCTGCACTCAATGGAGGGAAGGATTAATGATGGATTACTGGTTAAAGGGGTCAAAGATGAGGAAAGGCATCATGTGACAAATACAGGAAATGAAGATATTTAGTCATAGAACGGGTACATCAATGTATTGGGGGTCGGGGGGTTACATTTAGGTTGCTGGATTTGGAATGGTGCAGGATGACGAGGTTCTTTAACAGGACACTGGAGAGGCCCTGTCTATTTGTACGGCCGTAGGAACCTGGTGACTTTGGAGCGCAGCAGCTTGATGAAGGAGCGAGGGAACATCTCTTTGGACTCCTGTGCCGTGTACCTGAAGTAGTTCTGGGGATGGGCCAGCACGTCGAACAGGGCCTTTATCAGCTTCTTGTCCTGTAGGGAGGGCACATGGACAATGAGTGTCAGCCCACTGGACCAACCTTTTCAACAGTAGATGTCGTTACCTCAGAATCAACGACCATAAGGCCGGTCATGTTCTGTATCCTTCCATACCTTCAGTATTTCCTGGTGGTTCTCGGAGGCGTAGAGCCTGCCATCTCGCACTATGTCCTCTATCAGCTGCTGGTAGTCCTCTAGAACACAACAGTTAAATTATGGAAAAGAAATAATCACGTGAGTCACAAAGAAGTTTTGAACTTTTCCATAAAGACCAACTCACTCACGGCAGCCTGTAGGTGAGATTAGATCTAACTCAACTCACCATCGTAGGTGACATATGGAACTTGGAAGCCTTTGCCACTGTTGCCCTCGTTGGACTTGAACTGAATCCAGAGTTTGCGAGAGCGAGAGGTGAAGGCGATGGGTCGCTCATAGGTCTGACACGTCTCATAGGTGGTGATGGAGGTGGGAAGGGCTGGAGGAAGAGCACAAACATGTTATCAAAGCTATAGTTCATTTGCTTTAGTCTGAATCAGTAGATGAGTCGGTAAGCTTGTGTTTCGGTTTCTTTCAACACAAGAAAAAATTCAAGCGAAGCATAATGCATTAAAAGCCAGGTGAAAGCCACTTTGACACACATTTTGAGTTTTTAATAAATGTTTCTTCTGTAATGTTGGTCATACAATAACATGAATATTGATATTAAATCAGTGACTAGCAGACTGTCGACATACAGATCATAAATCTGTCTGATCAGTGCTGTTCTGGTAAAAAAGGAAACTTAAAATGTATTTTTACCACTCTTCCTCATGACCAGCACGTCACCACACTCATCCTCAATGGGGAGGAAGATCTCTGGCACCACGATGAGAATCCGCCTCTTGTGCGGTGGATTAATGGTCCAGACACAGTCCACATTGGACGGGTAATCCCCGGGGTAGTTGGGGGACTCGATGTACCCCGTGTATTCTCCCAGTTCACCGCCACACACCTGATCTGAGGACAAAATAATAGAAACATTTAAAATTAATTTCAATACAACAGAGCCAATATCTGAAAAACCTACGACTGTCTCTGAAGCCTGTTCTCGTCTGCCATTCGTTATCAATCACTCTGGATCAGTTATATACTTCAGAAGGAGGCTGAATGTGAATGTTGAGCAGCATTACTTTTGCAGTGGGAGACGTTGGTGGCGCCGTCAAAGTCAGTGGTGGTGTTCCCTGGACAGGTGATGCAGTAGTTCTGCCCAAACTCAGACTGGTAGGTTCCTGCTGGGCAGCGGATACAGCGGTGGGTACTGGAGTTGTAGTAATGTCCTGGAGCACAGTGCACTGAGGAAGAACAGGAGGTAGTCAGTGTATATGCAGCATAAACTGAATGAAGATAAACAGCAGGCCATCTACAAATACATCACACAGCTGTGCTATTATTCATGCCTCCATTACAAAACAGGCAGCCAGACAAAGCACTAAAGCCTGTATAAATGACTTTATCATCGGCTGTATCTCGTACACATCTGCACTCTCCTTTATGACGGCATTAACAACGAAACTGCTGACAAATGGCTTGTGTTATTGCAAATGCCAGCATTAACATACACCGTTTTGAATTGGCAGATAAAAAGCTCCAATTACACAGAGAACGTACACAAACTATAGAACAGGGCTGCCCAAAGGGCATTAAGGGTGGATTTGGCCAGCCAGATGTTCCTTGCAAAAAACAATTAAAAATGAATTGAAATATATATATAATATATATTTTTATATATATATTTTGATCCCAAATGATTCTTTTTCATAATCTGTGCACAGCTGGGAGAATGACCATTAGTCATTGTCCAGTCCTAGTGCCAATACAATACAAAGGTGTTTGCTATTGGCACGAGGTCCAGCGTTAACAGGGTTTCTGCAGGTTTCAACAGGTTAAATTCGAGACTTTAAGCCCATAATATATGCAACTGAAGACCTATTTCTCATCAGAACTGGCAAAATTCTTTTTTACAGCATGATCAATACTCATACATTTAAAAGCGAGACTAAAAACAAAAATGGTACAAACTGTAGTGAGTAGACATATTAAGATGTACACTGTCTGACACAACGCCTCACCTTTGGCCTCACAGTCCCTGAAGGAGACAGCTCCTTCATACTTAGTCATGAGACCTCCTCCGCAGGGGAAGCAGAGGACTCTGCCAGGTTCTGGCTGGTAGGAGCCCAGCGAACAGGGCTGGCACGGACGGAAGCCGTCAGCAGAGGAATGACCTGCTGGACACTGACCTAAGGGAAGGACAGAAGACAATTTGTTCTTTTTAATGTATCTGTATCTGTATCTGTCACTCAGACACTGTTTGACTAAACTGTTTTAAGTTCTATATGAAGTACACAATGTAAGAGTGCTTCTCAGAGAAGGGTCAGTTGGTAAATATCTTTCTAATCACAACTCTCTAACACTGGTTGGTTGTGCTCTCTTGTGGCTGTGACTCACATTCAGTTTTCATTAATGGCCACAAGGTGGTGCCAACCCAACACATTTACACGCATACTGTACATAGAGACTAATTTTACTGCATACTTGAAACACTACTACTGCAATTTTGCCCTGAATAAATTTTAATATATATATATATATATATATATATATATATATATATATATATATATATAATATATATATATATATATATATAATATAATAATATAATCTAAGTTTTCAGCAAAGTGAAAAAATCTGGCAGAAAAAATAGGGAACCAAGTTGATTGGCAGTCAGAAGATAACTAAGGTTCTCTAACAGCCTGCCATTCTTCATTTAGGACTCTAAATGACAATAGTTTGGGATGGTGAGTTACCTCCACACTGAGACACGTTCTTGGCACCAGCGATGCCCTGTCCTTCAGTGCTGGGACACGGTTCACAAGACAGCTGACCCACCGTGTCCTGGTATGTACCGGAAGGACACTGGACACATTGCTCCTGCTCGCCGCTGTAGAACGTCCCAACGGCACAGCTCACTGAGGAGGACAACACAGGTGAGCACTTTAAAGGAAATACTCTCCTCATTATGACAGTACAGCAGCATCCTGACACCAACTGACAGCTAGTAAAACTCTACTCTACTCTCTACTTACCACACTTTCCATCTCGAAGGACTTGTCCCGTGCTGCAGGCCTCGGCGCCCTCAGGTACCCTGGACGGTTTCTGGGCCACCTCGTACTCTGTCCCGGAGAACTGGATGTAGAACTGCTGTTTGTTGATGGACTTCCTGAGCGTCCGCATGGCGTTCTGCAGCTTCTGCTTCATCCGCTCCCTCACACAGTCTACGTTACACGAGTCTGAGGGGAAACATTGTGTTTATCAAAAACATGCTCCAATAAAAATACAAATTTTGCTCATGTCTCTTGTACATATTGTATTTTGCATATGGTTTGATACAACAAGTGACTTGTGATGTTTTTAACTTGAACGGCCATCAGTTCTAGACCCCATACATACTATTCAATACAGTAAGAATTCATATCATTCATAGTGGAGAAAGAACATCTCACCTGAGGCTTCTTCCTCCTTCATCTCCATCTCAAACTCAGCTGTGATGTGGGAAACCTCTTTTGAAGGAGATTTGCGTCCCCGCCGGCGCTTCTTAGACGAGTCGCACTTCAGGTTGACAAAAGTGACCTGGCAGTTGTCGGTGCAGGGGAACTGGCCTCCTTCCAGGTGACAAAGCAGAAGTGACAAATGAGGAGGAGGAGATGGAGAAGGAGAGTCATAATGGGTAATAATTAAGCACTAAAGATATGTGCCGTTCTTTCAGTTAGTGTAAGTTGCTGATGCAGTGAAACTCTGAATGTCAGAGGTTCTTTACCTTGCACGTTCTGCTTGGATGAATCTCTGTGTTTCTCCTTGTTGCGGGGCCTCAGGTGACACTTGGCGTCTTTGATCTTAAACCTGGCCTTCTGTTTGATGGGCGGGGCCAGAGTGTCTTTATTCACACAACAGCAGAAAAAAAGACTATTAAACCGTGTACAATACAATCAGTGGACATTTGTGACAACTTGTAAGTAACTAATGTAAGATGACATTTTCTGCCCTCTCCGTCTTTTAAGCTATTTACTATTAAGCACCTCTTTATCTTTAGTCACACCTCCAATATTAGCGACTGCCTCTTTTAACCTGCAAGCAGGAGATGTTCACTCGACTGCTCCCAAATTCCACTTATATCTGCAAAGGGTCCAGAATAAGCTAGTAGAGAATCGTTTCTGCAGTCACAAGGACATGAGCCCTTATTATACACTACTGAAAGTAATGGGAAATGAATGCTAATGCTGGTTTCTGAGCTTTTCCTCTGCAATGTTGATGTAGCGGTTTACTTGACATTTTTTCCTGCCGGCTGTTGATTTATATCATCATTTCATGAGTAACATTTTGAGTAATAATACATTTTTCTCAGGTGGAGTTGGCCAACATGAATATTTTTATCAATTTTTATTTTTTATCAACATCATAATGTTAATATTTCTTTCCTGAGCTTAGTGATCTCACAGAGAACTGGACTGCACCTATGAGCTCTCCTTTGCTGGCAGTGTGCGTCTAGAGGGCAGTACCTGGATCAGTCCAGGACCTGACAGCCTAATGAGCTGATGTTTGAGTAAATCAGCTGCTGAATACACACAGATTGCAGCTGTAAAACTCTCATTTGCTCTATGACATTTCTTATTAACATGCTCCTAAACACCACATTTCCCATCATGCTTGATGCTTGGCCTACTGTACCGGCACAGGTGGGTAAGGCAGCGGTAGCATTCCTCTTCTGAGGAGCTTTACCAGGCTGGACGGGCACTCCGCAGCTCAGTGTGTAGCTGTTCTCTGAGTCTGTAACACACACACACACACACACACACACACACACATTAGACTACAGTGAGGAAATAGAAATCAGACAAGATGATAAGAGGTTAGGGAGGCTGACAGTGTATGGGTATGGAAGTGTGTATGTTTCACTTGGCTATGCTGTGCCAGTTTCTGAGGATTAAAAATAATTTTATAAACGTTGTATGACCTTGCCGTTCTCCTGTATTCAGAAACGAGAGAAGTTGAAGGGAGCCCAGAGGAAACTCTGCTGCCATGTGACCTTAAACCCACTATTGAGAAATGAAAGCCCGAATGAAAGATCTATGGACCCTGTCTCTCTATCTTGATGCACATGCACACACAAAGACGCATTTCAAGTAAGAAATGAGGGGTGAAGCCTTCAGAGGTCATAAAAGCGGGATGATTAAATAAGAGCCTGGGCTGCATTCAGCCACAGGAATTTACATGGCTCCCTCCCCCTAAAATTAAGACGCACTCCAAAAAGACAGAAAAACAAATATTTCACCTCATGCCTGAGAGCTATCCATCATTCTCACACAACGGCCGCCAAGTTAAACGGAGCGAGGGCCACGCTATGGAAAAAGTGGCGTGATCAAAGAATGTAATCGATTTACAGATGTGTGTTAAGTACTATCGCAGGAGGAGAGGAAGGGGTGCCAGCCAAAGTGCCGGGACGGGTTGAGCCAAGAAAACCTTGCAGAGTGAAAAACACGTCAGTCTGAGCGGAGAACCCCCCCGAGGAGTCAACAAACTAAGCAACTAAGCAATAAAGAGCACGAGTGGCTTCACTGAGCGTCAGTCGCATCCAGAGGAAAGGATGGTACAGGAAGCTGTGACTGCCAGCTCTCACCACCAGAGGGCAGCAACGTGTGCAGAGTGACAGCTAGATAGATAGATAGATAGATAGATGGATAGATAGATAGATAGATAGATAGATAGAAAAAATAGATAGAAAATAGATAGATAAAATAGCAATAGATAGATGAAGATAGATAGAAATAAAAGACTGATACCTACAAATAAAATTAAAACAAACGGGAGCTGTGGCTACAAGCTGCCGCCTGAGGCGGCGCCAAGAAGGTGAATTACAGACAGTGCAGAGCTCACGGAGAATACAGAATGGCGGGGTCTTCGACCTAAAGGCTCAATCTTTGAATTACTTTATTTTTCTTTTGCAGGATATTTCTGTTGAAAGAAAGTTTAATAGATAAAGACAGGGTTTCTGCAGGTTACAACATGTTACATTTAAGACTTTTTAAGACCTTTTTAAAATCATTACGAATGCAGTTTAACTCCATTTTTGACACATAAGACTATGGAAATTCCTTGACTGATGGACTTGATGATATCTTGCCACAATACCAAAAGAGGTCACCCCTAGCCCAGACCACGCGGGTGGCATTGGTCCAGGACGTTAGGTTGATTGTCTGTTGGCACCATAAGGGATCAATAGTTCCTATGTTTATTCCTGAATAACGTGTGAAGCAGGTATAGTTACCTCCCTTCGGGGTGAAGATTGGTGGGATGGTTTATTTATCCATTATTTATTCCATATATGGAGTTATTTTGCACGATTGTGTGGCGCTCCCTATATCTCAAGCTCCTGTTTTACGGCTGCAGGAAGAAGCTGCGGTTAGCGTGACCCTAACTCAATGCTGAGAGTTTGCTGTTTGTCCATCCTGTTTCTCGGTACAGAGTTCATGCAATGTACCAGCCTTCTATTTATTACATGGTGCTCAATCATCCTTATTTGCTAATGCAACTTTAATCAACTTAATCAAGCATATCTATTTTAATTATTGGTCACATGACGGATATAAAACAAGATGTTGTCTGGAACTCTGGGTAGTGCAGCTGGCAATTAGTTGCTTAGTGCAGAAGATATAAGTACATTTTAGGTGGAAGACGGGCTTATAAATTCTGTAAAAGGTTGCAACTTCCCACGTAGAGGCGCCACGGTGCCATGCCTAATGAGCCTATATATTAATAGATTTATATATACAAAAAATAAGAAACAAAAAAAATTTCTAAGATGACATAAAATTTTAAAATAACCTTTAAATCTTGAACTTTAGGCTCTAAGCAAAGGCGGTAAGGAAGAAGAAAGACTGGATGATAAGTATGTGTATAATCTGCTGTTTTATTCTATAATGGGCAGCAGAACTATTTTCTTTACTTTTAATAGGTGCATTTTTTGCACATTACATACAAATGTACTACATATATGGCAATAAGACTAAGAATCTAGGGCTATTCTAGAAATATTTTACTGAATAAGTAAAAACATGGCACTAGAGGTGAAGTCAGGGAGACATCATAGTCAGTAGGATTCCTCCTCTGGGGACCATGAATGTCTGTACAGATCGTCATGACAATCCATTCAATAGTTGACAGACAGAAAGACATTGCCATCCCTGGAGCCAAAGCTAGCACTCTTTACGTTATATTTAACATGGTAGACAATGATAACACTGAGTTCTAAAGCTGGAACTGGCAAATGTTTTATTTTGTTTTTTGTATTTTACTTGATAAAACAGGAAAGCACAATACATTTTTTCTTCACTGCTTTTTTCTTTTAGATTGTTCTGCTGTAATCACGTATGTAAAATGTGTGTGTGTGCGTACCTGCGAGGAAGAGGGCGTTAGAGGGGCAGGAGAGCGAGCAGACCTCCGCCCCTCCGCTCTTGTTGCAGGTCAGCTGGGCTCGGGGCGCTGGCTTTCCATTGGGCAGACACTTCACCGCCTCTGAGGAACACACAGAGTCACATCACCATGACAACCACCTGGACACACACATACACCTGCGTTTAGGCCTTGCTGTGAGAACTCCACCACGCTACACACACACACACACACACACACACACACACACACACACACACACAGAGTTGGTGCTTACCGATGCAATCTTTCTTGTTCCAGTGGAGTTTCTGTCCAGGTGGACACACACACTCGTAGCTGCCCTGGGTGTTTATGCAGCCGTACTCACAGCTCCCGTTGCTGATGCTGCACTCATCGATGTCTGAGACACAACCACATAGAGCGTTACACTTTCTTCTGTTTTTACTATGAATTAGACAATGGAAAACTAGAGAGGGGGGCAGATTACTGCAGACAAAAGATCTGGATTATAGGCACATGTTATTCTGTAGATGAGTGGCTGTGAAGGCCTAACCATTAATGGGCGTGCCAAAAAGGTTTGTTAGTTTCCACATACCCTTACATCATTAGTACATTGAGAAAATACAGCATATATCTGTTAATACATGTATCCTGCTCCTGAAAAACAGTCAGAACTGTTTGTGTTGACTGTGCTACAGGTATTTGATAGCACACACACATAATACACACAAATACAAACCAACACACATGCACGCACACACGCTCATGCTGTGTCCACACAAAAATGCCCGCACAGAGTTATTCAGGGGGACTGAGGTGTGAGAATGCTTTCAGCAGCGGCCGTCTGCAGACGCTCAGTGACCACTCACCTTCACACTCTGAAAAGTATTTCCCTTTCACATGCATACACACAAACACACACATTTTATCTACTCTGTCACACAGACGTCACACCCACTGCCGGGCCAGTTTGACGTTTCATGCAGCAGGATGGACTCTCACCTCCGCAGTGAGTGAGGCCGTACAAGATGTATCCCTTGTTGCACAAGCACTCAAAGCTGCCGGGGTAGTTGATGCAGGTGTGGTCGCAGGTTCTCTCAAAGGAGCACTCGTCAATGTCTGAGGGAGACCAAAGAGATGCACTGCATCATCATCATCATCATCATCATCATCATCGTCACAGACACAGAAAATTTCAGTTCAGAATTGGTATTACACAAAGAAATTGACTTATAGTCATGTAGACATCCCAGTCTCAATAAATATTTGCACCAATTGCTGCTCATGCTGTTGTTTTGACCAATTTAACCAAACTGACAAATACAAAACTTTTCAGACTGATTCATGCAAATGTGCTGATGTCCTGTTGATGGTGGACACACATTAATGGAATCATGAACTGGTTCGGTCATGGTTTAACTCTATTGAGAGTTTCTGTCCCGCTGCGTTGGTGGAAGCAAAGGTCAGCGGGATGAGTGGTTTACAGACATTGCAATCTCAATGACTCATTTATGGACAAACACAGGCTGCTCACCAAGGTCCGAAGAGGCCGTCCTATTAATCAAAGTGGACATTATAGTCAACAAATACATGTGTTCCACACTAAACTAGGACAAGAGCTAATTCTAATAAACCAATCCAGGAAAAACTCCACTGGACTGAGGCTGAGATGGCTCACACTCACCGTTACGTCAGCATCTGTGTGAGTGTGCACGCCTGCCCGCACATGTGTTTATGTATACTTGTCCAGCACCAAATATTATTAACCTATCAGGAATGGAGGCCAGCCTTTTAAGCTCACCTGGTTTATTTCAGGCTGTTCCACGGGGCTTTACAGGGGCTAAAAATACGACATGCTATAATGGAGTTTGTCATGTGGAGGAAGTTGTTAAGGCCTGGATGTTGGCTCGGTAAATATTCCAGGCAACTGTCCATGCAGGGACTTAGGAATAGCTTGCCTGTTTCGAGCGAGCCCACAAGCAGAGTTTACATAAACTGAGCTGGGCACACAGGAGTTGTCTAGAGCTGTTTAGTGTAAAAGGAACATATATAAAATCAATGTTGGTTTCTGGTTTGGCTGATGTGTTTTTCTGTGAGACACACCCTCCGTCATGATGAGGTGTTTTGACAGTGATTTCTGACGTTTCTCTAACTAACAACATTCTCCCTATCTCTCTGCCTTTCTAAACATTTAGAATAGAGGGAATAATTTGTGGGAATGCTTATGCAACTATGGCAAACGATTAATCTTCTTTGCTTTGGTTTCTTAGCCAGTTCTGGCGAATACTCCCACACTGGCATGTAGTGTATCACCGGGAGCTATTTTCTCTGGAAAGGCTCACTGGCACAGAGAAAGCAGACAAATTAAACATTATATTTCATTTTAAGGTCAAGTTGAAGCTGAACAGTCCAGATGTCAGTGGATGGGATAAACCTGGCAGCTACTGGCTGGCATGGCACGGTGGCAAAGGTGTGTCAGAAATAGGCACCGAAGCTGTGATGTGGCTGACAACACTCAACACCACATTATTAAAGACTCCAAACGCGCCGCCGATGATGCACAGTTAATCCGTCACATATACACACATGTGTACACACTGTTTGGTGGTTTTGGGCCTGGGACAGAAGCACCTCAGGGATTTGTTGTTAATAAAAATCATTTTGTGTTTGTCTCCTGTCTCGCTTGCTGCAACTTGTAAGCAAGAATCTGCCTTTGGTCATACAAACATAATCGCTGATCACAAGGAAGTTTCTGCATGTACACTACACACCCAGCTACCCTGCTGCAACAAACTGCAGATTACAGACTTGGGGAAAGATGACTGTGCATGCTTGACTTTTTCTCATTTTTGCATCTCAGCAATGTATTTACTGTCACACTACAGCAGCTGGAGTTTAGAGAAACATTTGTGGAAATATAATTGTTTGCCATCTTCCAGTCTCATGTCAGATGAGATGATCAATACAAATTTCTTCTCTGTTAGTCCAGTGGGTCCACCGGGACAACATGCAAGCACTAGTCTTGATGGAAAGGGTATAATTTCTCTAGACTAATATCCTGCAGGACCTACTGCATCCCTGGACTAATTGAGAGATCAAATTGATATTGATTTTCTCATCTGACTCCAACAAAGAGGCCAACTTGCTCTGGGGCTCAGTTTCCCATTCACACATTAATTTCCCTGATCCATTCAGCCATGTATGGTACCTTCATGTGTATGTAGCCTAATTCAGAACCAGCAAGCTTAATTTGTACTTTTTAAAGTTTTTAAATGATCTCAACTTCAATAATTTCTAAATCGAAGCCATCAACATGTCTGTTGGACCCAATCCCAACTAGGCTGCTTAAAGAAGTCATACCCTTAATTGGCACTTCTTTATTGGATATGATTAATCTTTCTTTATTATCAGGATATGTACCACAGTCCTTTAAAGTAGCTGTAATTAAACCCCTTCTTAAAAAGCCCACTCTTGACCCAGGGGTTTTAGCCAACTATAGACCGATCTCTAACCTCCCCTTCCTCTCTAAGATTCAGGAGAAAGTAGTCGCAAAAGAGTTGTGTGACTTTCTACATAACAATAGTTTATTTGAGGATTTTCAGTCAGGATTTAGAGTTCATCACAGCACAGAGACAGGTCTGGTTAAAGTTAATAATTACCTTTTAATTGCTTCAGACAATGGACTTGTCTCTGTACTTGTATTATTAGATCTTAGTGCTGCATTTGACACCATTGACCATGATATTCTTTTACAGAGACTTGAGCATGAAATTGGCATTAAAGGAACCGCACTAAGCCGGTTTAAGTCATATTTATCAGATCGTTCGCAGTTTGTACATGTTAACGATCTTCAATAAATACTACAGGTTCTGTACTTGGACCGGTACTATTTACTTTATATATGCTCCCTTTAGGCAAAATTATTAGAAAAAAAGAAATTATCAATTTCTAAACAAACATGTCTTAAGGACTTAAAATCACTGAATTTCTGATGCCACAGAAAAAATGAGACTCACGTCTAAAGTTATAGTTACTCTAGATGGCATTACCTTGGCCTCAAGCACCCAGATCTTGGAGTCTGTGTTTGTTTTCCCCCCCCAAAACACCCCCTAGACCTCCCTTCTTTCATTACATAAATTAATCAATTATCTAAAAAATTACAAACAATGTAAAAAAACTAATCCAAGAGACATAAAGAAATTTCTCCAACCTTTTTTTTTCAGGTTGCCCCAATAAGTCCTGGATTAAAAGCTCCAATTAATTCAGATGCCAAACTCATAAGGAACTAGAAAAGATCACTCCTCTAGCTTCTGCACTTGCTTTAAAATTTAGAATAGAATTAAAATTCTCCCCTCACCTATAACGCTCTTCATCGGCCCCTTCAAATCTTAAAGAGCTGATAGTACCCTATTACCTCACTAGAACACTTTCTCTGAATGCTGGGCACTTGTGGTTCCTATAGTCTCAAAAATCTTAGAGACTCACTTAGTCTAAAGATTATAGTTACAACCACTCTAGTTATGGCTATAGGCCTAATGGGGTTTCTGGTGCACTGAGCTCATCTCTACCCTCTCTTTCTGCACTCATTCATGTTCCAGTAATGCATGTACTACTTCTTCCCCGGGGTTGTGCTTGCTCGAGGTTCTTATCGATCCTGGTGGAGCCTCCTGCCATGGTCCTGCTAGATTGCCATTACCAATACTGTTGTTGCTGTGCACCTGTCTCTCTCTCTCTCTCTCTCTCTCCTCTCCACCCCAACTGGTCGAGACAGACGACCACCCACCTAGAGACGGACGGATCTGTCCTAGGTTTCTGCCTTTTAACAGGCAGTTTTTCCTTGCCCTTGTCGCCAAGTGCTTGCTCATGGTGGTACTGTTGGGTCTCTGTAAATAATGTTATAAAGAGTTCGGTCTAGACCTGCTCTATTTGAAAAGTGTCCTGAGATAACTTCTGTTATGAATTGGCGCTATACAAATAAAATTGAATTGAAAAATGGAATCTTTCCTAATGGCTGCCATCCCAGCTGCAATACACACTAATTCAATACAAAAACTGCAATACAAACTTCAATGGGTTGATGGGTTTAAAAAGACACAGAAGACGGGATCCTAAATCAATAAAACAATGGGATTCATGAGTGATTGGCTAGGCAGCCAACCAAGGCCTCACACAAGGGAGGCTGTCCCTGCTTAAATTTCTCACACTATCAATAACTGTAGCTCATTGTAAGAGAAGCACAGACTTTTAATGTTTTAAAATAATACTAGTGTTACATTAGGTATTAATATGTGTACTATCAATACAAAAACAATACAAAATCAATTTAGACTTGACTGATGGATGACCCCCACAAGCCTGATAGCACTGATGACATAGTGACTGGGCAATCGGCAACTGTCAGTCACTGACCTTGGCATGTCCGTTCATCAGTGAGCAGTTTGTGGCCCTTCTGGCAGCTGCATTCAAAGGAGCCCACCGTGTTCCGGCAGAAGTGATCGCAGCCTCCGTTGTTCTCCTGGCATTCGTCGATGTCTGGGTGAAGAAAATAAAAGAATGAAAAACAGAAAGCATGTTCTCCTGAGTCCACCTGAACAGCAGTGGATGTGGTAGAGTGCACACAGTCCATGTTCAAATGGTTGCATAATCTAGAACATAACACTAACACTGCACCACTCTAACACACAACTGTCTTACCAGTATATGAGAACACACAAAGACACAAAAACGGCACCATTATTACTGTAAATGTGCATCAGACATACAAACTAAACAACACAGAAGAGAACCTTTCTCCGGTCCAAGCTTAAAATCTATTCAAAGATTGGTGAAAGGTCTGTCTAGGCATTAGAGTCTCAGATATGTTGGATGGAGGGATTGTTTTTCTTATGCTCTTTATTTTTGTGCTTCCATAGGTAAATAGAGTTGGCAGCGTTGAAAGACTGTCGTCAAGTTTCCACCTTATTTTAAACCACAATACCAGTGTGCTGGAAAGGGAGCTCGGTGGGTGCCATGCCATTGTTTGTGACGGCTCATTATTTGAAACCCTAATCGTCCGAAAAATGTCCCATTGGACCCAAAGCACATTCGTTCGGCCGCGTGTTATTCTGAAAGCAAACACCCGTTGCTCCGAAGGCCAGTTGTTACGAAATAAGATGATGTAACTATCTTGACTTCTATGACTTGTACTTATTTGAACCCAAACCATGATCTTTTCCTTAACCTAACCAAGTAGTTTTGATGCCTAAGTCTAACCAAACCGTTCCATGTGTTTGATATTGTTATGATGATGAAAGTCGCTTGACTTCGTCCTTTCTTGCACGTCCGTCATCGGACAAAATGGCTTTCGTTCAAAAGGGACATTTTTTCGATCAATGGGTAACACAAAGACACACTGTCCCAACACAGCACGACAGGTGGGCACAAAACAGTTCAGTCTGCTGTCCTTCCTACTGCTGTGTTGACATGTTGACTTTACTGATGCTATTCATCAACTTTTATTGTGATTATATTTTAATTTCTGTTTCTGTCCTCTTATATTTTTATTGAATTATTTTTGTGTGTAATGGAATGGTACATTTTTTTAACAATATCTTTATTGGATTTTCATTTTATAAAAAAGACAAGAACAAATAACAGCAGAGAAGTGTGTAAAATGGTACAGAAGTGTACAAACATACACTGTCAGAACAAATTGTTCATACTATACACACTTGCTCCATACAACCGTACCAACAAGACGAAACAAAAACATGGCGGTCAGGGGGCCTCCCCAATGAAGGCACATAATCATGGGTCCACAGAAGATACATTAACATATAGTCCAGAAAACAGGAGAAGAAGAAACTGGGTCGTGCAGAGGGTGCACCTGTACTGTTCCAGGCCCGTCCATCAGGCGCGACAAATCATTGTCCTTCATATAAATGATGAAACGACCCCATACAGTTTGAAATACCTCCTGTCTGTCCTTAAGAGTGTAAGACATTTTTTCCAGAGGTAAACAAGAAGTTAGTTCCCTAAACCACACAGCGATAGCAGGTTTACCAAAGTTTTTCCATGATAAGGCTATTGTCCTTTTTGCTTGTAGAGAACACATGTTTATAAACATTTTTTCATGAAGCTTTATTCTATGTCCCTCTGGGTAAAGACCTAGCAGAAAGATCCAAGGTTCCAGATCTAATCTAATTGAGAGAATCTCCTGTACAGACAGTCTAACCTCCTCCCAAAACTCCCTCTCTCTTGGACACTGCCAGAGGCAGTGAAATAAAGTGCCCTTATTTACCCCACATCTATTATAGGAGTCTGGGATATTCAAATTTTTGTTTTGTTTAATTTTGCTGGAGTAATATACACCCTCACTAACCAATTATATTGTAGGAGTCTTAGGCGTGTATTACCTGACCCTGTCTGGGCTGCTTTACATGCGTTACGCCAATGTTCCAATCAATGTTCCCTCTAAGCTGTGTGCTTGCGCAATCGAGCACTGCTCCCGCGTTCTCCGCGCACAGCAAATCTATGCAGCGCATAAAATAAAATCCAACCTGAACTGTAAATAAAATCAACGCATAACAATTTATTCTGTACAATTTTGCAATGCAACTCAGTGAGTGCCAGGTGACAACAAGTGGTAACTACAGTAAAACAATGACTAACACTGTCCAGCCAATGACATGATACGGCTCACATGTATTTACTTACGCAGCCAATCAATGTCATTAACAGCGCTTTATGCGTACGTACCGCTTTTTAACAGGTTAGCCTATAGTTGACGGTGCGATGGCGAAGTTAAGTTAGCTAACCCCTTAGGTCCGTGTATGTTTTGGTCATTGGATTTTCCTTTCAGAAACGGGTATTAAAAAACAGAAAACGAGTGGTTATTTGATTTTCGTTTTAAAATACAAAAATTAAAATTGAAATACAAGGCGTTTTTCTTTTTCATGGTCAGAAAGGGATGAGGGAAATTAAAAAAATTATTTGATTTTCATTTTCTATTTCATATAACAAAAAATAAAATCACTAGAAAACAGAAACGGAAAAAAGGCCTGTTGTTTCATATTCTGAGACCGGATGTTGTCATTTACAGGACGGTGCTGTGTAGAAGAAACAGTAGGCTAGTAGACTGCGGTCAATCCAGCCGTGAGTCCGATCTCCGTGGTCAATTCAGCCGCACTTAAATTTCGAGTGTACAAGTATTCTCAGCATTATGGTAAATGCGGAGAAACAGCGTATTCACTTCCGGCTTTCAAAATAAAGGTATTTAGAACCGTAAGCTATAATTAAAATATGTTACATTTAAGTGTTGTGTGCCCCTGATGAATTAAAAAACACTTTATATCAAGTATCTTTACTGCACCAGTGTGGAGAAATGCCAAAATAAAAGTCTCATATTTATGCCTCCAGAGATTGCATATTTGACCATATTTGAGGTACTGTAAAAACATATTGCTCAGTGTTTCCTGGCTACTGATGGTATATTTGACTTTTACACATATGAGACTACAAACATACTTAATATCAAGCATTTTTACCGTACAAATTTGGAGAAATTCAACAATAAAAGTCCCATATTTGTACCTCCAAGTGGCATATTTTCATATATTTGAGCTACTGTAAATACACTTTGCTCAATAATTACTGGCTATGGATGGTATATTTGACTTCTACACACCTAAGACTACAAGTATACTTAATATCAAGCATTTTTACTGTACCAATGTGGAGAAATTGAAGAATAAAAGTCCCATATTTATACTTCCAGATTCCATATTTTCTTATATTTGAGCTACATCTTCAAGTCTGAATTCAGGAGGCTGATCGGTCTCATATTTTCACACTTATCGTTAGATTTACCCGGTTTCGGGAGAAGAGTATTCAGAGCACCTCTCAGGGAGGGAGGAAGTATCCCATTCTGAAGGGATTCTAAAAACATTTCCAAAAGGGGAGTTCTAATTTTTTATTCAATTTTTTTGTAGATATCTATGGGCAGGCCATTTGGGCCTGCTGCTTTTCCAGAATTCATGCATTTTATTGCTGCAGAGATTTCTTACACTGTCAAGCTCTAATTTGGGGAAGTTGAAACTATCTAAGAATGCCAATGAGCTCTGGTCTGCTAGCCCTCCAATTACTTCAGAGCTGTAGAGTCTTTCATAAAAGTCCCTAAATTTATTATTTATGGCCACCGAGTCTGTGATGAATTCCCCCTTCTCATTTTTAAGATTGGTAATAGATCTTTCAACTTGAAGTTGTTTTAAACGCTATGCTAGAATCTTGCCTGCTTTTTCTCCTTGATCAAAGATACTTTGTTTAAGTTTTAAAAGGTTAGCAGCGGCCTTGGAAGCTGAAATTTCATTATACTGAGCTCTCAATAATGAAGTCTTGATGAATCTTAGAACAGGGGTTTTTAAAGCAAATATCCTCCATAATTTTAATTTTTGCCTCTAATAACGCAGTTTTTTGTTTGGCTTTTTTAGATTTCTGAGGAAGGCTTTGAAAGCCTCCCATCTAGTGTATGCTGATGTCTCGTATGTATTAATCATGAAATACTCATCTATTTGTTTTCCAAGAAAAGTTATTAGATCTGGGTCCTGGAGCCATTTATGTTGAAATGTCCGTTTGGGGGGATCACATAGCTGTCCTGGATCCACATAAACCAGGTTATTTGTGGCGTGGTCTGAAATTAGAATGCTGTCATAATTACAGTCCTTGATTTTACCTATTAAGCTGGCTGAAACTAGAAAATAGTCAATACGTGAATACGTATGATGAGTTTTGGAGAAACAAGAATACATTGCCACACCGGGGTTTCTATCTCTCCAGATGTCCCTCAGATTTAGATCCTTAATGAACTGATGAATAATTGCTCTGATTTTACTGTGGGATAAGTCTGAATGTGTTGATCTGTCTTTGTTGGGGTCGACTGTACAATTAAAGTCCCCAGCAATAATGTATTGCCCATTAAATGAAGCTAAAGTCAGAAACAAGTTATTGAAGAAATTTGGGTCATCGTGATTTGGTGCATAAATATTAACCAAATTGAGGCATTCAGTGTAAAGTATACCTTGGATTATCAGAAATCTGCCAAATTTGTCTGATATTACCTTAGTGACATTCAGTGGAATGGACCTATGAACCAAAGTCATGACCGCCCTCGCCTGGGAATTGAAAGGAGCTGAAAGAACAGTCCCCCGTTCCACACTCTCTGAGGAATGGTCAAGTGTCGCTGTCCACTCCATTTCTAAAGTGGTTTCCCCTTCCGCTTGTCAAAGGGAAAAAACAAAATAAAACTAAACTCTATTATTCATTACTATTGTAAGAGAAAGCAGAAGTAATGAAGGCAATCTCAGCAGCACCACGCAAGAATATGAGAGTAAAGTGAAAGGTAATAAATAAATAGGAAAATAAATAAGAACCAAATAATGAGTAGTAAATACTGTAGACAGGTTAGGTTTTTCAGAAATATTTGCCCAAATAATAGTAAATATTATACATATATACATGCATCCTAAGTATTAAGTGAAATTAAATTATAAATATTG